GATCCCCATTCCAAATGGGTGGACCCCTTCATCTGTTTCAATTTGCATGTTTTCAAAACAAAAACAAGCCTCTGTTGGGCGACCGTATAAAACCTCAAAATCAACGCTATTCCTGACATTTTGAATTCAAAAAGCTTCCTGGATGGGAAGCGAAACATCTTCAAACTCGGCTGAACACGTTCAATTCTTTCTGTAAAACACAGAATGCTAAGACTCGGAGTGAGCTATATTTATGAAACATACCATGGACTGTTCCCCTCACACACATACACAATCTGTATATAATCTGTAAATCTTATCTGCTATTATTTATCTTGTATTATAAACCCGCTAATACATATATAATCCTTTTCCTAACACTCCTGTATATTCTGTACAATCTGTGCATGTAGCTCCCATATTTATATTTATACAAAACTTTTTACCGTTCCTAACTATTACTTTTTGCTTGTACATACACCTGTAATAATATGTATATCCTGTATAGCACTTCTGGATAGATGCAAACCACATTTTCGTTGCTTGTACTCCTGACAGTGCAATTATGTCGAACGACAGCCAAACTTATGCAACAAAGTTGTCTTTCAACATAAGTTTTGGAGTCATTATGAATACGCTATGTATGCACCCAAAATACATAAAAAGTTTAGTGCATGACGGCCTTTTAGGAGATGACCTCAAAATAAGCCTGACTTGGTCAACTAAGCCTGACTTAAGCCTGTTTTCCGAAAACAATCCCTCTGTCTACCCATAGAAAAGCTAAACAACAACAGAAACGCTGCTTATTAAGACCAGTATAGAGAAATTTGTTGTTTTTTTTTTAGGTCACATGCTTGTTTACTGTGGAATATATAGATTTAAGAGAATAAGAATTAGAAAGAAAGCTAAAGTCTTTTTTCAGAGTTGGTTTGATCTGTATTCTTTGGTAAATAACCCTCATATATCTCTACAGGTTCCACTTATTGGTTTGACTTTGCACCGGATTACTGCATGTTGTTTGTACGATCATGAAGGTGAACAAAACCGCACAGGTAAAAGGTAAATCTCAGAAATGGAAAGACGTACGGAGTAAACGCTGCAGACCTTCCACCAAGCCTTCAGATCTGAACTCCAGTCCTGTCATGGCTAAGATGATAAAGGAGCACCAGGTATCTGTGAAGAAGAAACCCTCTGTGAAGAGGCTGAAAAAGAAAGCAAAAACTGTTTCTGAAAACAAGAAATCCTCTCCTGAATCTGGAATTGATAAAGCTAGCCCTCAAGCCAATGGCTGCTCCACGTTTCCCCCGGAGGACGAGAAACAGGATCTTCAGGATTGGAGGGAGAGTTCAGGATCAGTTCACGCTAACGGCATGGAGTCGTCGGAAGATACAGAAGTCCAAGGCGGGAGACTGGAGGGGGAGGCTCTTCATCACTATGCACAAAGAAGCCACCAACAGAACCGGGCGGTGTTGATCATGCAGAAAAATCAGGTATTCTTCACCCGACAGTCCCTGATTTTCAAACCAATACATGGTTCCCACGGGTCCTTAAAAAGTCTTAAAAGGCATTGAATTCTTAAAAATAAAACTAAGGCCTTAATTGGTATTAAAAAAGTCTTAAATTAGTCTTTCGTAGGTCTTAATTTTTAAAACAACATAAATAGAATCATTTTTATTACAATTTATGTTTGTAATCTAAATAAAACATTAAAATTGGAATTTTTATAAAAACAAAAAAAAACGGCTCGCCATTATTAGTTCCTTTCCACGGAACCAATAAAAGCGTTGTTGCGGCCGGGACATTTGGGAAAACATTAGCAAGTAATGTAACGAAAATTGGCTCCAGCCAAGAGTTTTCTCCATGGCTAAAACCAGGGAACAAACATGAGGCTCAGTGGATTTCGTGCAAGAAGTAGGGATGCACGATATTGGGATTTTGGCCGATATCCGATATGCCGATATTTTAAAACTGATGTAGTCAATAACCGATATCGATACCGATGTTAAAGCTGGACAAAAATAAGTAGTCATTGAAAATAGCAGTTTTGTTATCCATTTCTGACACTTTGATAAGTTCAGATACTCAAATATATTTTCATACGCTGATATCAAATTGATTT